CTGAGAACAATATACTAGTATATTAAATTATTCTCATATACAGTTCATCTCTGTGGTGAAGGTTCAGATACAAAGCCAAGGCAGTTTGACATTTGAGAAAAATCTGCTTCAAGGCTACTTCAAATTTCAGCCTCAGGCTGTGTTCAGCTAAAGCTTGTGGTTCACACAATTCAGGTATGTCTTGCTAATCCACAATATATAACTTTAAGTGCTTGAAAGAGTCCAAATTCATTATCTTCTCATTATACTCCTTGCATCCAAATGTTTAACTGCAATGAGTTTTTAAGCATTTCATTCAACTTTCAGAGGCCAGAGTGGAGTTTTACCAGCTTTGTCCCAGTTTGTGGAAGATAAAATTATTTATAGCTTTAATGTCTTAAATCCATATTCACCAATTTTCAAACTAAATACTTCCTGTTTACGCACGTGAAAATTGATGGATATTAATCTGTTTTTTAAAAGCACTGATGTATCTTTGTCTGTGAGCCTCTTCTATCTCAGAGTGTATTTTTGTTATTTTTGCTGCTGTATGCTGTATTAATGCCTCCATGATTAAACTTTTCAGCCAATCAGAAAAGCCCAAAACTTGGCATTACCGCAACAACATCTGGGTATAACACTAATGGGTGGCATATGTTTTTAAGGTTCAGATTTAGACACCAACATGTTTCTCTTTATCTGATCTCTCAGAGCAAGTGAGGGTGGCTGAGGCCACAACACGGCCTGGCTGCCGAGGATAACTGTTTTAAAAAAGTAAATCATAAGTGAGTGCAGCTGTCATCATTACCCAAAGTAGCACTGATGACAGGAGACCCACCCAAACTAGAGCCAAGTCCCTGAGCACTTAAGAATGCCCAAACAGCCCCATCTGTCAGTTTTACACTCTGTGCTTCTTACTTAGCGCATGGCTTCTGTAAGTGTAACGCGCTGCAGGGATTTCAGAAAAGCACGCACTAACCACCCAGGCACAAACATATTTATGATCTCAGCTCACTCTAATCCATCTTTTAAAGTGAAGTCAGCAGTAGTTTAAGAGTCAGATGTAGGGCAACCAGGCCAACTCGGGTCAACACAAAAGGCTTTAATTTTTCCTGGAAAGTGAACTCAATAAAAGAAGAGAATGTAGCATTTACTTCTTAACATTTTCATCAACAACATCTGATAATTAATTAACTAACTGAAGCCATTACCTTCGATAACTTGGTAGCCTATTTCCTTAAACATTTACCAAGGAGTCAAGTCCACCAAGTCATGGCTGCCTAACCATATTCAGTGGTACATTTCTCTGACACAGGACTAAACTCAAATATTGCCTGAGGTTGCCTTCAGGGTAGCAAAAGTAAAATGTGCAAGACAATGGATCAAACACTGGACAATGAAGCGGTGGTTGGTGATTTGCTCACAACCTATTCATGGTTCTGAGAGCTCAGATGTAAAAGAGACACTCAAGAATCAAGTCAAGAATTTGGTTTCATATGATGTCTCATGTGATGTCATAATGTCTTCAAAAAGACCTCATGACATTTGGCTCAAGATTTTTTTTTTGTTGTTGTTTTTTTTAAGATAACCATGTCTTAGAACTAGAGGACTGACCATGTTTCCTGGGCCTCTGCAATGTTGTTGATGTAATTCAAGTAGTAGTAAGTGACATAAGGGACATGGGAGTCACCTAGCCAGAGTCTGCCAGACTATGGAAGAAGCGGTTGTATATTGTGATTCTCAAATGGTTGACGAAACAGTGGAAAAGTCTTGCGTTTTCATCAGTGCTTTGTTTCAGATGAAGACAGCAGTTTCTGAAGTACTGAACATTGATAAAATGCATTTAAGATGTATTTCTGCCACTCTTTTTCAATCACAGTATAGCCTAGATACTTTTTATTTAAGGTCACATTTTATTTTACACTAGATATCAGTATGTAATGGTATATAATAGTACGTGTAAGGATTTAAGGGTCGAGTCACATTATTACCCGTTTAATGAGGTAGATGCACTTTACTTTTACAAGACTTACTTTATTTGATTCATATCTAACACAGGACTTTTTGATGTATTTGCTCTGAGCATAAATATTACAGTGCAGACAGAAAAAAGTCAGGGTTTTAAGATGATCCGCCGATAATCTGATCTCTAAATGAATGGTACATACTTAAATCTCTTCCTTCTTTTAAAAACCCAGCTGCTAAACCTCACTCTGTATTTGAAAGGCACACTCAGACAGGATATTCAAGAGATATTTTCTGTCTCTGCAATGTTAAATACGCCACACCAAGATTTGAACTATTATTATTTTATCATTATCACATTTTATGACGAGATTTTGGCATTGTATTGGACTAAATATATGGAAGGAAATATTGTGATTTTCTCTGGCATTAGTGATGCAGAATCAGAATTTTACATTTAGATATTAATTTGACCTAATAGTGTTAACCGGTTCAATGACTTCCATACAGATGCAAATAAAAACTTGCACATAGGATTACATGAATATGAAACTCAGAGTAATTGAATTATAGAATTATTAAAAACTCATCATACATTATCTGCTGCATTACATTACAATACATTTAAAACTCCACTAAATGAGATAAGTTTGGGATAGATTTTCACTTATACACGCATGGGGAGGCCCTCCTTCAGACCAAATAAGAATCAGGTTTGTGGAGATGCAGTAAAGATGCATATTTTTATAGATTAAAAGATTACATACTGTGGCTTTAGAGGAAATTAAGTTGTTATCATGTTTACTGAAGTTAAAAAGCGCATTTGTCAACTTTACTATAAGTTTGCTTTTAGAATATTGTTATAGACTTCTACAAACATTAGTTATTGGTCACAGCAGCAAGACTGATATCAGGATTATCTTAAGAAATCCATATTGTACTGTTTATTTTACAGTCAGAAAGCAGGCTGACTACTAGCCTCTATCACATATGTGGGATTAGTTCCATATGGGCTTGTCCTGATGATGACACCTTTAAGCTTCTCTAATGTACTTGAAACACTTGGTTCATGAGTTGGCCGAAACATATTCCCCACACATTGGTCGAAACCATGTTACTGATTCGATAATACACTTAACATAAATTAATATTTTCAGTTAGTGCCTTGATTGGGAGTTAGTTCAGTCAAAACCTTTTTAATCAAACGACAAACATTTAATTTCCCATTACATCAGAGTTGATTAATGCTCCTGAGTGTGAAATATTGCCTCATTATTAACTGTGTGTTCCTCTTCAGACTTTGCCCCCAATTAATCCAGGGACACACAGAGGAGCACATACACTTTGTGAACATTGAAGCGTCACAGATAATCTCTTTCTATTATCTGGAAATATGGAGTCTATCACGACACATTTCCATTCACAAGGACAAATGAAGGGAAGAATACTTACCCCTTCCTAACAGTGATTTCTGGATTTGGTTTGGATAGTCAAAGCATATTTAAGGTATGTATGTATTTAAGAAACATGGTTCTAGATGTTTATGTTTGATGTCAAGATTAATTGGTTAATGAATATTTGTGATTTATATAGGTTTATAGTTATATAATATATCATATGAACTAAAAATAATGATGAATGGTGATTTATTAGTCTAATGAAAGTTAATTAAATAGGGGTTATTATGCAAAATTTACTTTTTTCAATTTTTTTTCTACCATATGAGGGAATGGTTTTAATTATCATTCTGCATAAAAAGTGATATTATGGTATTGTGACATCACTATTATTTCTATATAGTGAATTCTTTTTTTTTTTTTATTATAAGTGGTAAATGTCACTACAAATGGTTACGCAACATTTTTTGATACTTTATTTGATACTTGAAGCTCAGAAAGACATTTCAAGGCACATTTTAGCACAATTCTGATGAACTGTGATAATTGGAATATTTGCATAGTGATAAAATAAAAAACAAAACAATAGATGTAAATTTTTGTCAGTATTGCCCACCCCTATATGCTGATGCATTCTGTAAATAAAAACACAGCAATATAAAATGCCAGTATACAAGTGGTGATTTGCTGTAATGCTGTCCATATAGGTCAAATAGGCTTGAGTCCACTTAGCAGCTGTTCCCAGATGAGGATGTGTGATTGCGGTGTATTTAAGCGACACGGACTCAACTCTCTTTAGACTTTAGTCTCCTTTAGTGTCTGTACATTAAGACCTTATGGTATTTACAGCTAAACAGGGACATCTGTACAGTAATCTGTAATCCATGTTTATAACAAGATCTGATGGCCCTGGCTTTAATGTAAAGAGTTAACCATTTCTTGACCTTTTCAGATGTAAGTAAGGCTTGGGTCAGATGGTATGATCATTGGTATTGGTTAGGATTTTTCATTGGAGCTGGTCTATTAAAATGTTAAATTGTAAAAGTGTTATATACAGTACATAATCAAACTTTAGCTGCTTTATGTTTTCTTAACAGCTCTGGATAAAGTGTGCCAGTCATAAGAAATTGAACTAAAACTGGGATCTGAAACGGCGTTTATGTAATGACTCTAGGAAATTCAACATAAGCCGTAAAAATCGTCTATAGCAATAATGTGAACTTTTGTATATGTGCTGCATAATAACAAAAGTTTTTGATACCATTTCATTCTATAGCTCTCCTGTTTAATCGGTTAATAATAATTTTTAAAAAGCACAAATAAATCTATAATATTAAAATTAAACATAATGGAAACTACAAAAATTGTTCCATCAAAACAATGTAATATATGCTATATATAAATTAGAACGTAGCTAACTTGCTGTGTTGTTCCTGAGTTTTCAGCACCAAGGACAGTGACATAAGATAGGCTAGAGTCTCCCATTACTTCTAAGGTGTAAAAAAGTTACACCATGGTTACATCAGGATTCATGGAAAAAATGCATTTGTTATTGTATGCCAGGAGCAATTACAAAACCATGCCATACGCCATTAGAAGGAAAGTTAGGTATGAAAAAGACACATCAAGTTACAACAAGTAGTTTTTGGGATCCTTTACCTGTGTCAGTGGGTGTGACAGAGATTATGTGACAGATGTGTGACATGTTTCTCTCTCGTCCATCTTGTTCCTCTTCGAGTTCATTGGTCCCTCCCTCTTCCGTCTTTCCTTCCTTCCGTCTGTCATGTCACAGCGTGTCCTGCGGGACCAGGGAAATGATTAAGGAAGACAGTTTCAAATACCTTTCAAGTCTCTCCCTGATGGCAGCCAAAGTAGGTGGGAACGAACAAGGTGGGTGAAGATTCCAACAGCTGCTCATTGACAGGCAGGTATAAATTTCAGTAGGTCACCTTTAAAATCTCAGGGGCTATTCCATGCAGAATTCTTTCACAATTATTCTAAAATGTCATGATAATTTATTGAATTAAGTGTTGTGAGTACTAAATAATTGCTTCTGATCTCAAGTCAGCATCTCTGGATCAGTTTGTTTACTATTAATAAATGTACATTGTCACTGAGCTAATAAGATGACATGACACTGTTTTTGTATGCCTTCTGCATGCTATTTTTATGCTTTTTTTTCTTATTGTTCTTTTCTGCTTCTACACCATTTGTAAACCTTGTTTTTAAAAGTGCTTTATAAATAAAGATGTATTATTATTAAAGTAAAAATTTTATTTATATTTTGGAAGTCAGTCAGTCTTAAGGTATTAGGAACATAATCATGTTAATGATTTCCCTGCCCCACTATACCTGGTTTATAATGAGTTAATAAACATTATTATAAGACTTTATACATTTTACTTTGATTGGTGTAACTGTTGGAGCATAACCATTTAGTGCCTTTTAACTTGAATAGTGAAACAGCTAATCTAATTTAAACAGATGTAATATAGTCCCACTTGGTGTGGTCTTCATTGTGACATGCAGGGTTCCTCCTGCTGCTCAGTGTGCCATGACAGGCTGTGTGCATGTGTGAATACATCTGTGCGTGTGTGGAGCCTTCATATGTACAAGGCCGAACACGCAGACGTACACGCAAAGGAACACGCAGAGATAATGAGATCTTGCTCAGCCGAGGCCTGGTCTTGATCCCCAGAAGCCCTGGACTCATTTCAGTGAGAAAGCGCTGAACAGAGCCAATATGAGCACCTCTGGCAAAAACGCAAACCCAGTGAAAAGCAGACAGATTTGAACACAGCTTAAGCCTTTAAAGCTGCACAAAAAGTATGTGGCGTGCAAGAATGGTAACAATGTGGAATAATGTTTGACAGGGTGTTACGGATTGTGGTGTGACAGGTAGGTTAGGTTAGCAAATCTACTTACTTATAGCTAGAATGTATTGTTTAAATTTCTAGACGGAAACGTTTGACCATGGCTTGGCTTGCTCATGATCTATTTGCATCCCTTCTCTTGTGTTAAAGTAGATTCAACAGGAGAAAGTCAACATCTTAAGTTACTATAAAAAACTGTTGTGCCTTGATGAAGATCTTTTAGGTGTATATAAGTGAGAGTGAGAGATTTTGTGTGAGTGTGTGCTTGTGTGACTCACAATAGATATTGTTTACTCAACAAAGGCTGCTGAGATAGACAATAGTCACTAAATGAAAAAGTTTTTACCAGTTATATTACACTGTAAAATTATCACATTATATTAAATTACTACAAAAACGAATGGACTATGACTAGATATTGTATCTTATATCTAGTCATAGTCAAGATTAGGACTGGGTGAAAAAATGCATTATTTTTTCTCTCATACTGATTAATCACATTTTTTGTCTCATTAATTTCCTAAACATATAAACATTTCATAATTGCCATTTAAAACAAATAAACTGCCAAATTTATATTTAATAAACTCTGCTCCAAACTACATGTTTTTAGTGACAGATAAATGATTTGAAAATATCCAAGCTAATCAGTGAGATTACTGAATGTTGATCTCAACTAATTGCACAATCCCTAGTTAAATGTTTTATGTAGTGTGTATAGTCGTATTGTATATATCTAAGTATACAAGTTAATGTGAAATTATTTCACCCTATAGTTTACAATAAAAATTCTACCATTCTCTTTTTCTTACACCCCTCCTCTATCCACTGCCTGCCAGCTAGCTCCGTTCCAGCGGTTAGCCAAAGCTATCACTGCACCCTTTTCTTTTTGGCATTGTTCAAACTAAATGGAAACAAGGTAATTAGCTTGTTACAATTAAAGCGAGACGAGCGGATGAATTGTAATCACCCGCAATGGAGTTCCTGCTTCCTCCCCTGCAGCCTCCAACAGGCCAGCTGAGCTATCCTCATTTGCATAATTAAAATATACAAATGATAATGGATTTTGTAGTCAATGTCCAGAGGCTGCAGAGGTAGAGATGAGAAGAAAATATGAAATCACAATAACAACCACACCAGCGTAGCCTAAAGGGGCGGGCAGTGGAAGGATACGCGAAGAAAGGTGTGCTGATAATGAAGGATGAAGAAATATATAAAATGAAAGAGTGACAATGTGGAGAATAGAGGTGGACCAATTACATTTGCAAATAGCACACGGTTAGCCCTGGCCTGTGCAGCCCTCCCTCTAGGGAAGCCTTTCGCCTGATTACATGAAATTGGGATAGAATTAAACATCTAAGAGTTGTCCTAAGACAAACCGAAATGAAATTAGCACCCGACTTGGTTTTTACCTTGGAGCGCTACAGAGCTGCACAACAGGGAGCAAAGGAGAGATGGAGGGATTTTTGCAATTAGGTGAGGGACAATGTCAGTGAAATTAGGCCTTAGAGCACACTTCTTTCTCACAAGACTCTGTTCTCCTGGTATTTCTTCTTGCTATTGGAAAGTTTTTAAGGCATTTTCCAACAGTAATCTCTGATATTGTAAAATCTTTGCACAAAACATTACAGAGTACACAAGGATTCAGCTTCTGCAGTGGCTCTGTGTACAATATGAGTGGCATTAGAGCATACAAAGCACTAGGCATGGCCCCAGCAAATAAACTGAATGGCTCTCCAGTCACACAACAAACTCCACTCCAGGACCTCATGCAATTGTGATGCCTCACTGTGTAGAAACTAGGGAAGGGTGATGTAATGATGTCAACTATCAAATAGTCTCAAGAACCTGTAGTTTTCTGTTTAATGTAGCTCAATCAGATGCATATAGTTCTCCCTGATTTTCCTCACCCTCTCCACCTAATATAAATGAAGCACATAGGGATCTATCAAAATAAAAATGATTAAATACAATATGAAAGTGTTACTTAAGTTGTAAGACAATTATGATATACATTTGTTACAATATTGGCCATACTAAATTGAGACAAACATTCTTTTTTACACTTGTGGGTGTTTTGTAGTTGTACATACAATTTAAAGGTATGGTATGTAACTTTCTAGAGATGGAACATTACCTACATGATCCCATGGAAAAAGAAAGTTGAAACCATACTCTAGAACATTCTACACGAACATACCTATTTTTTATGTCATACTGTGGAAGATTACAGCCAAAGAAATAACATTTCCATGAAAAAAAACAAAAAACAGGAAGAAGCCCTTCTCCAGGCTAAATAAGTCAGGTTTGTGGAGACAAAAGCCCGGTCACAGCAAGGATGTATGTTTTTCAATATTTTTCAGCACAATAAAAACAACCAAAATAACAACATGCCACCATTTTGGTCTAGCCAGGCTGGTGCAACCTAGTGCCTCTGTTCAATTTAATTTCTCTCCAGCGACTAGGTCAGGAATCAGAATACACTAGACGATTCGCAAAACCCCCGGAAGTGTGAATCCGAGCACCAGCCAATCAGAGAAGAGCCATACATTCTGTGTTGGCAACGATTCCCAAGATCGAGGATTTAAAGCCGGAACAAAGTGAATGTTTGGTGAATTTTATCAAGGGGAAAGACGTTATTGCCCTTCTTCCTACGGGATTATGGAAATGCTCAATATACCAGTTAGCCCCATTACCAGTTAGACCAAAGAGCAGTGACTGGTTAAATGAAAAAAGTACCCACCTACCATCGTGCGAATGAATTCTAACGCTGCGAGGTCAGCCGGTTCACTAAGTGAAACTGGCTGATGAATTTGGCTAATTTAGGTCTATTTTTTGGCTAAAAAGTTACATGCGGTGGCTTTAATATTCTTGCAGTTCATCTGATTGTTTAAAAGTAATTGTCTAATTTCTCACACTGTCTGTTCCTGTCTTATTCCTGCCACACATTTTGTTTATCTTTCTCCAAACATGCATTTAGCTGTATTTAATTGGAATGCATAGCAGGGCTGTTTTATGGTTGTAGTCTTTATTACTTACACTTGGCTATAACTGTGTACACATGCGTAGCTCCGTATGTTTGCATTACCCCCTTGCGCTCTCCTTTCCTTCCTTACTGTGTGAGACCAATAACAGTGGCGGAGCTGTAAGTAAATAATGAGGAGTAATCAAAGTTAATGGAACCCAATGGGAGCCACAGCTTCGGCGTGTGGCAATAATCTCATTTAGAGAGAGGCAGATTTAGTGGATAATTGGGGCCTAAGTACTCGCCGATTCCCCTGCTAACTAACTAACTAACTGAGCTGCCTTTGCTGGTTCACACTGCAATCACACCAATGCACAGAGAACGCAAACAAAGGCATTTAGTCTGCAAGGTTTTATTATTTTTCACAGGTTTCTTCACCTTGTTTTAACTGTTAGTTTAGATCTTAAAAATTCTAACTAACTGGTCCAGAATTAGAGTCATTTGCATTTGAATGTCCTTTGTGGACCTCCAAAAGACATTTTTGATGTATTCAAATAACTACTATGCTGTGTATAAATGTGTTGGTGCAGTAAAGTCAATGTGGGATGTTTTTGTTATATGACCAGCAGACAGGTTTGTATGGTTTTGATTGAACTGTAAAACTAATGACTTCTTGTGGCAATACATTTATTTAGTTCTATCAGTGTTCAACAATCCTGCCCACTTTAACATCTGCTGTGGAAGTAAATTTCCCATTCATTGGTCCCACAGAGTTTTTGAAAAATCTAAATATGAAGTTTAAAAAACAATAAATGTCCATAACACAGTGCTTTTTCAGTTCAAAAAAATATATATAAAGATACCATCTGTAACGCAGATGGTATCTACATTACTGCTGTCTGACAGTGTACCCACTTCAGCCTGACAGAGGTAGACCAGAGGGCACAGGTGAGCCTGAAC